TGGAGCTGGGGACCACGCGTAGGGTGTCAAAGTTTGCAGATGACACTAAGATGAGTGGCAAAGCAAAGTGTGCAGAGGACTGTGAAACTTTGCAGAGGAACATAGATACATTGAGTGAGTGGGCAAAGGTCTGGCAGATGGAATACAATGTAAATAAATGTGAAGTCATACATTTTGGTAGGAGTAATAGTAAAAAGGATTATTACTTGAATGGTAAAAAGTTGCAGCATGCTGCTATGCAGAGGGACCTGGGTGTCCTTGTGCATGAATCACAGAAGGTAGGTCTGCAGGTACAACAAGTAATTAGGAAGGCACATGGAATTTTGTCCTTCATTGCTAAAGGGATTGAAATAAAAAGCAGAGAGGTTATGTTGCAGCTGTACAAGGTGCTGGTGAGGCCACACCTGGAGTACTGTGTGCAGTTTTGGTCTCCTTACTTGAGAAAGGATGTATTGGCACTGGAGGGGGTGCAAAGGAGGTTCACTAGGTTGATTCCGGAGTTGAGGGAGTTGGCTTATGAGGAGAGACTGAGTAAATTGGGATTATATTCATTGGAATTCAGAAGATTGAGGGGGGATCTTATAGAAATATATAAAATTATGAAGGGAATAGATAAGATAGAAGTGGAGAGGATGTTTCCACTAGCAGGTGAAGCTAGGACAAGAGGGCATAGCCTCTAGATTAGAGGGAGCAGATTTAGGACTGAACTGAGAAGGAATTTCTTCACCCAGAGGGTTGTTAATCTATGGAATTCCTTGCCCAGTGAAGTAGTTGACGCTACTTCAGTAAACGCTTTTAAAAAAAAGGTAGATTTTTTTTGAACATTAAAGGAATTAAGGGATACGGTGAGAACGCGGGTAAGTGGATCTGAGTCCACGAAAGGATCAGCCATGATCTTATACCCTTTGTTCAGACTTTCACCCACCTTCAGATTGGACTACCTTATTTTCAAACATAATTTACATTTATCATATTATGTTACACATTCCTAAAGATTAATTTACAAGAATATCAATTAGCCATTATTCATAATACTAGATCTAAAATAGTTCATTCTCTAGTCAGTTTCTCAACATACTGCTCTAGAAAACCATAATGCACTTCAGGAACTCATTCTTCACAGCATTATTGCACATTCGGTCTACCCAGTCTATATGTAGATTGAAGTCTCCAATGCTTACCATATTCATCATGCTGGGGAATGTTTCCCTAATTTCCTGATTAATATGAGGTCCACACTATTGTTTCATGGCCTAGAAACCAGTCCTTTCAATGTATGGTGCCCCTTGATGTTTCTTAATTCCGTCCAAACAGATTCTACATTAAAAAAAACTGAAAGAACTGCAGATGCTGTAAATCAGAAACAAAAACAGAAGTTGCTGGAAAAGCTCAGCAGGTCTGGCAGCATCTGTGAAGAGAAATCAGAGTTAACATTTCGGGTCTGGTGACCCTTCCTTAGATTCCACATTTTGTTCTTCTGATTTGAGATCCTCCCTTACTAATGTACTGATCCCATCCCTTATTATCAACATAACACTACGTCCTTTTCCTTTTTTGCCTGACTTTCCTAAATATCAAATATCCTTGAATATTCAATTCCCTAGTTTTGGTTACCCTGCAGCTTGGTTTCCCTAATGGTAATTAGATCATACCCATTTTCCTCTGTTTGTGCCTTGCAATCATCTACTTTGTTACAAATGCATTGTGCATTCAAGTTGAGTGCTCTTGACTTTGTTTTTGACATTATTCCGCATTCTAAGTTTAGTTGATGCTCACAATCTTTCGCCTGCCTCCTGATTTTACTTACCACTTATCTACTTTCTATTGCCAGCTACACTGCTTCCAATTTGAGCTGCAAATCTCCTTGTGAGGATATCAGTCCAGGTCTTGTAAAAGTATAATCTGTGCAGCATTCCATCCGCCCCAGAACCTGTCTTATTGTTTCAGAAATCTGATCAACTCCTCCTCCACCAATTCTTCAGCTCTGTGTTCAATTGATCAATCCTCCTATTCCTATGCTCACTACCAGCTAGCATTGGGAGTATTCTGAGATTACTACTCAAGGTCTTGATTTTTAATTTCCTTACAAACTCTCCAGAATCTACTTTCTGGACTTCGTCCCTCCTCCAGGAATAAAAGAATGACTAGAGTAAGATTAGGGCCAGTCAAGGACAGTAGTGGGAAGTTGTGCGTGGAGTCCGAAGAGATAGGAGAGGCGCTAAATGAATATTTTTCGTCAGTATTCACACAGGAAAAAGACAATGTTGTCGAGGAAAATACTGAGATACAGACTATTAGACTAGACGGGATTGAGGTTCATAAGGAGGAGGTGTTAGCAATTCTGGAAGGTGTGAAAATAGATAAGTCCCCTGGGCCGGATGGGATTTATTCTAGGATTCTCTGGGAAGCTAGAGACGAGATTGCAGAGCCTTTGGCTTTGATCTTTATGTCGTCATTGTCTACAGGAATAGTGCCAGAAGACTGGAGACTAGCAAATGTTGTCCCCTTGTTCAAGAAGGGGAGTAGAGACAACCCTGGTAATTATAGACCAGTGAGCCTTGCTTCGGTTGTGGGTAAAGTGTTGGAAAGGATTATAAGAGATAGGATTTATAATCATCTAGAAAGGAAAAGTTTGATTAGGGATAGTCAACACGGTTTTGTGAAGGGTAGGTTGTGCCTTATTGAGTTCTTTGAGAAGGTGACCAAACAGGTGGATGAGGGTAAAGCGGTTGATGTGGTGTATATGGATTTCAGTAAAGCGTTTGATAAGGTTCCCCATGGTAGGCTATTGCAGAAAATACGGAGGAATGGGATTGAGGGTGATTTAGCGGTTTGGATCAGAAATTGGCTAGCTGTAAGAAGAGGGTGGCGGTTGATGGGAAATGTTCATCCTGGAGTTCAGTTACTAGTGGTGTACCTCAAGGATCTGTTTTGGGGCCACTGCTGTTTGTCATTTTTATAAATGTCCTGGATGAGGGCGTAGAAGGGTGGGTTAGTAAATTTGCGGATGACACCAAAGTCAGTGGAGTTGTGGATAGTGCGGAAGGATGTTGCAGGTTACAGAGGGACATAGATAAGCTGCAGAGCTGGGCTGAGAGGTGGCAAATGGAGTTTAATGCGGAAAAGTGTGAGGTGATTCACTTTGGAAGGAGTAACAGGAATACAGAGTACTGGGCTAATGGTAAGATTCTTTGTAGTGTGGATGAGCAGAGAGATCTCGGTGTCCATGTGCGTAGATCACTGAAAGTTGCCACCCAGGTTGATAGGGTTGTTAAGAAGGCGTACGGTGTGTTAGGTTTTATTGGTAGACAGATTGAGTTTTGTAGCCATGAGGTCATGTTGCAGCTGTACAAAACTCTGGTGCAGCCGCACTTGGGAGTATTGCGTATAGTTCTGGTCACCGCATTATAGGAAGGATATGGAAGCATTGGAAAGGGTGCAGAGGAGAGTTACCAGGATGTTGCCTGGTATGGAGGGAAGGTCTTATGAGGAAAGGCTGAGGGACTTGAGGCTGTTTTCGTTGGAGAGAAGAAGGTTAAGAGGTGACTTAATAGAGACATACAAGATGATCAGAGGATTAGATAGGGTGGACAGTAGAAGCCTTTTTCCTCGGATGGTGATGGCTAGCCCGAGGGGACATAGCTTAAATTGAAGGGTGATAGATATAGGACAGATGTCAGAGGTAGGTTCTTTACTCAGAGAGTAGTAAGGGCTTGGAATGCCCTGCCTGCAAAAGTAGTAGACTCGCCAACTTTAAGGGCATTTAAATGGTCATTGGATAAACATATGGATGATAATGGAATAGTGTAGGTTAGATAGGCTTCAGATTGGTTTCACAGGTCGGTGCAACATCAAGGGCCGAAGGGCCTGTACTGCGCTGTAATGTTCTATGTTCCTATCTTTGTCACTGGTACAAATGTGGACCATGACCTCTGGCTGGTCATCCAGCCCAGAAGGATATCTTGCAGACATTTTGTGACATTCTTGACCCTGGCACCAGGAGGCAACACACCACCTTACAATTTCTTTACTGCCATGTAAATGCCTGTCTGATCCCCTGACCATGGAATAATCCATCGCTATTGATTTTTGACTCTTTTTCCTTTCTTTATCACCAGTGGTACCAGGGTGGACTCAGGGGACTTCCACACCACTTGCCTGGTGATCACCAATTTCATTTCAGCTTGTATGATCCTAACCTGCAGTTTGATTACCTCCTGAATATGCTATCTATGTAATTCTCTGCCCTGTGAATGCACAAGTGACTCTAGCCATTACTTGCATTCTCGTACGTGGAGCTCAAATTTGCAGTTGGTAACGTTTCTTGCAGACGCGTTCATTTGGGAAAAATGGGATATGTATAGCTGAGTTGACGTGCCACTCCGTAACTTTAAAACTATATATTCGTTCGAATGTGCCGAGTAACTTACCAGGTACTCATCAAACAGCTTCCTCCTGTGTCCCAAAGAACTAATTACTGAATGTCTAACAACGTACAGAGAAAAAAAAATCTCCTCCGCCTCTACCACGAAGTCCCTAAAATCACCGAGATCCCAGCTGCATCGAAAATTAGATGAAATGTGACTAAGGGAAGCCCTTTCTAAAATTATTTTCAACAGACCTTTGGGACATGAGATGATACATATTTATGGAACATGAGCCAGACCTATGGACACTGCCACTGGCCCTGAAAGTTTATCATGCTCTCTAAAAATCAAGTAAATTAAAACCTCTGAAACTCGCCACTTCGTTAAATGGACGGACCTACTCTCAGAGAGCTGGGATACCTCTAATTTAAGGTTGGAACAAAAGATTACATCTATAGAGTAATTCTTAGTTAACTGCTAATTTGATGTTTGTTAACGTCTCCTTGTTGTTCCGTGCTCCTATGCAAACACTGTAAATTGAAGCGTACAACTCTGTATTCCCTCAGCGGCCGTTTTAACCGTTAATAACGGACAGCCGCGCGCTGCACTGGGCGGGGTTGGGGTGAGACAATGCGCAGGCGCGGTGGAGCTAGCCCCACCCCCGCCAAATCCCGTGGAGTCGTCGGTCTCGCGAGGTTGTCTGATTCGGACAGGGTTCACCCGGCTGTATGGTGGGCTGCCAACTGTGGTCATCGAAATGAGCATCCTACAGAAAATCTCGGAGATTGAGGCCGAGGTAATTAGCAGGTCGAGAATCAGAATGTTCACATATGGGACACACGATACCGGGGTGGGGAATGGTGAAAGCGAGCGCAGACGTGATACCGATTGGGGGCGGGCAGGGCGAAGGAAGGGATGCAGATGGAGAGTGGCCGGGGTGGGTGGGAGATAGAGGTCACCCCCACCACAATTTGGAAAAACGAAGAAAGACAAAAGTAGGGCCTTGGGCAGTGTTGTAAAACAGAGGGACCTAGGGATTCAGGCACATAATTCTTAAGTTTGCATTTCAGATAGATGGGTGGTTAGGAAGGCATTTAGTATGCTCGCCTTCATTGCTCCTTGTTATGTTAAGAATGTGTAGGACGTTTGTGAGGCCTCTTCTGGAGTACTGTGTCCAGTTCTGGTCACCCTGTTGTAGGAAGGATTTTATTAAGCTGGAGAGGGTTCAGAAGGATGTTGATGGCAATGGGGGGGATTTGAGTTATAAAGAGAGGCTGGATGGGCTGGAACATTTTTCACTGGAGCACAGGAAGTTGAAAAATGACCTTGTAGAAGTTTATAAAATTGTGAGGGGTACAGGTAAGGTGAATGGTGGGTATCTTTTCCCTAGGATGGGGGATTTCAAGACTTTTTAAAGTGAGAGGAAAGAGATTTAAAAAGACATATGGGTAATTTTTTTAACACAGTAGTTCACATTGGAATGAACTTCCAGAGGAAGTGGTGTATGCTGATGCTGTTACAAAGTTTCTAAGCTATTTAGATAAGTACATGAGAAAGAAATGGGATATGGGCCAAGTGCAGGCAGGTGGGACTAATTTAGTTTGGGATTATGGTTGGCATGGACTGGTTGGATCAAAGGATCTGTTTCTCTGCTGTATTAGTCTGCCAATTGGATGTCCCTTCATTGTTTACACTCAAGGGAACACATACTTTGCCTTTGCAACTGTTCTCACAATTTAATGTTTCAAATATTATGTAAGGACTAATATCCTTTCACAGTGTGAAATTGAGCACCCATGAATCCAATTGAATTAGGGCAGCATGGTAACGCAGTTGTTCGCATTGCTGCTTCGTAGCACCAGGGACCTATGTTCGATTCCAGCCTCGGTTGACTGACTGTGTGGAGTTTGCATGTTCTCACTGTGACTGTGTGGGTTTCTACTGGATGCTCTGGTCTCCTCCCACAGTCCAAAGATGTGCAGATTAGGTGGATTGGCCATGCTAAATTGCCCCATGATGCGTAGTCTGGGTGGACTAGTCTCAATGGGCCAAATGACCACCTTGTACACTCTAGAGGTTGTATGTTTCTTGATGTGGCCCACTTGGAATTCTCTCCTGTTTCATTCCTTGTAAAGTAATGTAACTGTAGTGACCCAATCAACTGACCACCACGCTTCACCCAGCTTCTTATCCACTGTTATCCTGGATTGCTGCTACTCTCTTTAATAATGGCTGTTAGATACAGGAGCAGAATTAGGCTATTTGGTCTGTCTAGTCTGCTCTGCCATTCGATCACGGCTGATGACATTTGATACAGAACTCTATTTCTTATAATTTATTTGAAGTTGCCATGAAGTGTCTCCTTTGTGTTTGTTGCTGTATTCAATGACCTATCAAGAAAACTTCTGTAAGCCACTTGCTTGTACTTTAATCATGCTATTATGCATTTTGCTTTGTAAGTTTGTGTTGAATTTATTGTGTTGAACAGCCTATAACTGAATCTGCAGAGTCTGGCTGATGTGCAAGGGGTCAAGGTGTTTGCATGCAGGGGATAGGTAACTTAAGAAAGAATAAAGGTGTATCACAGTTGATACAACTAGTGAGGTTCAGTCCTGGTGTGATTTTTGATTTAGTGTTTGAGAATAATCAAGGAGGTATGGTTCTAACTTTATTACCATATTCTTGAAGCAGTCTCCTGCACTTATGGCTATAAATCTCTTCCTTGCTCTCTTGGTCAGATGGCTCGGACACAGAAAAATAAAGCAACAGCTCACCATCTCGGGCTCTTGAAAGCTCGCCTGGCCAAACTGCGGCGAGAGCTTATCACTCCAAAAGGTGGAGGTGGAGGAGGACCTGGTGAAGGTACAGTCACTTAGTTTATTTGGAAATGTTTGAGAAACCGGGAAGAATGCTTTGATTTTCAGGATCTAGGACAGTGATGTTTAGGCATTAAAATGAAATGTGTTCACAAATTACTCCTTTTAATTTGCTCTAATATATTTTTATAGCAAAATGACTTGCCTTTTCATAGTTTACAGGATGAGTGGTTGAAGAGAAAGTTATTCAGAAAAGTTGTGAAAACCAGAAGGATGGATGATTAGGAAGCAATATTCCAAATCATTGCAATGTTATGTTTGATCAAACTGTCACTAATAGTGAAGAATAATAGCTGGACGATATGAAATAGGGCCAGAGCAGTTTCAGGAACAAGGCTGGGGATCTTAAAATCAGATTTATTGAAATGCGGGGAAGTATGAAACTTGGCAAGGATTGAGAAGAATGAGAGACTGCATTTGGTCCTCTGGGGAGAATGAATGAATTTGAGGGTTTTCTTCACTGAGGCTGGGGACAATGCTGGAGATAATAATGGTTTAGTAACAGTAGGGCTTAGAAAGGAACTTCAGAAGGATGCTGCACAAGGCGGGTTCATCTACCTTTACTGGCATGCTCATTGTGTGGAGCAGTAATGCAGGTTGGAGGACATGAGGTCTAAATTGAGTCCTGCAAGGAAACAGTGGGGAGATGTGGAAGAGGAAATCAGATTTAACTGTACAGTTGAGTGGACCTGATTTGGATGATGCAGTATCAACAAGTCATAACATTTCTGAACAGGTTGATTTAAACTAATTACAGCTCTTTACAACTAGAGCTTTTGTGGCACTGTGGTAGTGTCCTTTACTCTAGATGAGAAGGCTAGGAGTGAAATTCTTTGGCGACTTGGCAAGATACATGGTATGCAACAAAGATTCATGACACAGTCTAAGGAAGCCGTTTCATGAGGAGAGTTTGAGTAAGCTAGGCTTCTATTAGGTTGCAGACTTGCTCGTCGAGCTGGTGTGTTTGATTGCAGACATTTCGTCACCCTGCGCCTCCAGTGACGCATTGGTGTTCCGTCTCACTTGTTATTTATATGCCTTGGTTTGCTGGGGTGTATAAATAACAAGTGGGACGGAACACCAAACCATCACCGGGGGTGCACTGACAATGTTTCCTGGCAGGGTTAAGAAACATCTACAATCGAACACACTGGCTCTGTGAGCAAGTCTGCAACATTATTCGCAACCCAAGCTACAAATCTTCAAAAACTTTACGCTTATAAATTGCCTGGAGTTTGGAAGAGTAATTTCTCTTTGGGAAATGTAAAACGTTTTAAGAGCTTAACAGGGTAGGTTTCAGGTGAATGGTTCCTTGGCTGAGTAGTCTAGAAATTGGAGAGTCACAGTCTCAGAATAAAGGGTGGGGACTGAGGATGAGAAACTTTTCACTCGAGGTTGACTCCTTCTGAAAATCTCAACCCAAGCAGCTGCGTGTTCTTAGTTGCTGAGTGAGTATATCTGGTGAACAGGTTTTTGGATATGAAGAGAAATGAGGGATTTGAGGAGAGTGTGATGTTGGAATTGAGAGGGTTGAATGATGGTAATCAAAGGATTGAACAGCATCCCCTCCTGTTCTTTTTTTAACTACTGTTTCTGAATCTTTGCCCTTATGTAAACTTATTTTTTTTTCCTCTTGTTATGAGGATTTGACGTGGCAAAGACCGGGGACGCCCGGATTGGGTTTGTGGGCTTCCCTTCTGTTGGAAAATCAACATTACTGAGCAACTTGGCTGGAGTGTATTCTGAGGTTGCAGCCTATGAATTTACAACGTTGACCACAGTACCAGGTGTGATTCGCTATAAAGGAGCCAAAATACAGGTATGAAGTGAAAACACACTTTTACAGGCAGAGTTGAAGTGTATGTAGTTAGACTAAATTAATTTTGCTTTTTCTTTCACCCTTACTGGTTCTACCACGCAGCATGAACATAACATTGAGTCCATTTCCCCTTTACCGAGTGTAGGGAGCCTCCATTCACTGCAGTTGACAGCAAGTGTCAAAGAATCTGCTGTTAGGCTTCAGTAAATTGGGCTTCTGATCATAAGTGTGCACATGGATAATCCAGGGTATGTCTCCTTAAGTACTATACGAAAGCAGTAAGTAGTGGTTCCACAAATACATTGTGGACACAGTGATTAGAGATTCCTCAGAAAAATTTGGGCAAGTGTTAAAGCAGTTAAAGTTTCATGGTACAGACTGTGGAGAAACATAATCTCAAAGTCCAGAGCAGGCCTGGTGAGGAGTGTTACAGTGAATAATGAAAGGAATGATGGGTTTGGAATCGGGATTCCTGGAAAGGTCAACAAGGTGGCCTGTTAAATTAGGCCTCCGATGGACAGTAAGTTATGAAAGGGAAGTTGTGTGTGATGATGAAATGCTGTGGAGTTGAAAGCAGTTTAATTTCTCCAATAACAAAAACAGAAGTTTCTGGAAAAGCTCAGCAGGGCTGGCAGCATCTGTGAAGAGAAATCAGAGTTAACTCTTTGGTTCTGAGGAAGGGTCACCAGGCTTGAAACATTTAACTCTGATTTCTCTTCGGATGCTGCCAGACCTACAGAACTTCTCCTGAAACTTGTTTTTGTTTGATTTTATAGCATCCACAGTTCTTTTTGGTTTTTTAATTTAATTTCTGCAAGTTTCATTTACCTGTTGTTTGTACACCCGCTGTTTAAACATTTATATTTCCTCCCCAGCTGCTTGATCTTCCTGGTATCATTGAGGGAGCCAAAGATGGTAAAGGCCGAGGGCGCCAAGTAATTGCAGGTATGTTGTATGCTTTAAGTGGTACACAACTAAAAATGAAATAGCATTTTGCGTAAATCCTGTACTGTATTTATCCCAGCACACAAGCCACTCAGTAACTGCTGGGAGGAGTAATGTTGATAAGTGTTATGTTCTTTTTGAAGAATCAGCTGCCAAATGTGACCGTTGCATTGCTTCCCTCCACTTTTAGTGGCGCGAACATGCAACTTGATCCTGATTGTACTGGATGTGCTGAAACCACTGGCACACAAGAAGATAATTGAGAACGAGTTGGAAGGATTTGGAATCCGACTCAACAAGCAGCCACCCAACATTGGGTTCAGGAAGAAGGACAAAGGAGGCATTAACTTGACTTCTACAGTGAGTGAGAAGAATTGAAGTGGCAGAAAGCTGAAATTAAATCAGAATTGAACTAAACTGTGA